GGCCGAGGAATACTGACTGAAGACATGCTACCCTGTAACCACGTTTCTCTTCAGTGCCCAAGCTCCATAGCCTTAGATTTACAAAGCTTCCTATAACCTCTTTTGATTGGAATCTTGATGGCCATTACAACACACTACCTAAGGAATTGTCGATGGTACACCACTCTTGAACATCCTGTACTTCTTCCTTTCTTCTACCAGCTGTAGCTCTCAGGAAGGAGCAAAAGCATTGAGCAAGCACACTGTGGCGTAGGGACTCTGGGACTGTAGAAGAGGGAAGAGCAGGAGCCACCTGAGTTAGGGGAGCTCTCAGCTGTGAAGGGGTCAAAAATGAGATGAAAAGTGAATAGAGAGGACACAGAGGAAATATCTGTGTAAATGCTCAGAGATATAACAGGTACAACTTGAGTTTGGAGGAGTGAGAAATGATTTCCCCTCCCCTCATGTTTACTTTGTTGTAGGTGAGAAACATGAATCCAGAGAAGAGGTTAGTTAAGAGGGTCATTATGGATATTTCCTCCTTTGGCCTTTCCACTGCAAAAAACTGTATACCTTAAGTTAAATTGGAGGCTAGTTAGAGGTCATCTGGTCTACCCCTCTTCCTCATGCTACTGATGGCCCAGAGAAGAGAAGGTCTTTGGAAGAACCAGAGGGCTTAGGCTAGCACTTGGTTTTCTGAGTGTCAGTAAGACCTTACCACCATCATGGTTTACTGAGGTTCTGCTTTAGCAGGCTGCCTTGGGGAGCTCTGAAGAGAAAGGGACACTAAGTCATCAGAGTGTACATTTGTTCTTTGACTAATTGTTGGAACTTAAGCAAGAACGGGTTAAATTTGGTTGACAATTTGAGGGTACAGTCCACAGTAGTAGGGAAATCCTTGTGGCAGAGGCTCGAGAAAGCTTATCATATAGTGTCTGCAGTGGGGAGGCACGTGACTGCCGGTGCTTAGTCAGCTTTCTCCTTGTTTATTCACTCCAGGACTCCTAGTTGAAGGCATGGTGCCACCCACATTTCGAGTGCATCTTCTGCTTCAATTAGCCTAATCTAGATAATTCTTAAAAGGTATGCTCAGAGGCCAACCCAACCGACATGGTGCTTCTCAGATATGTCTGGAGGTTTATATCCTATATGATTCTAAATTCTGTCATGTTACAATATTAACCATCACATGAGTGTTTAGGATGGACACAAATGGCCATGAACAGAAAGTAGAACACTTCCAAGTTGACCAAGACCACATTCATGATTACTTAAGTGCTTAAGTTGACTAGGGAGTGGTTAATGCACAGTTTTCCCAGTGGCATCTTCTAACCCTGTCCAGTAGGCTCTTCAATGGATGCTATTTGAACATCGAGCCTTCTTAGAAAAATTGTAGATTATTTTCTTTATCTCCCTCCCATCTTCCTCCAGCCTACCTGCGGTTTTCTATATGTAGCAGAGGAGGCAACCACTCAGCTAACTGGCCTTCTGGAGTCTAGGCTTTTGAAACTTTGACTTTATTAATTAGAGAATCTCCTATCAGTACAAATATATTTTAGTTTGTCACTTTTAAATCAACATATTTGTAGAGATAGGAGACTCTCTAATTAACAAGGTCAAAGTTCCTATCCTGTCACTCATTGGCTGTGTGATCTCTGTACATACAGGTATTAAGCCTGCCCAAGCCTCAGCTTTTGAAAAAAATGGCCTTGTGATGTCAGTGAGAGCTGAAGAATATGCATGTGGAAAGCACTTAGCCAACTATCTGGATCACAGGAGCCAACAGAAGCAATACCTGCTATATATTAGGCTGTGCAAGGCATGCTAGGATATAATGTCTGGACTTCGACCTCAGAGTGGTCTTCTAGAGTGGAGATGACTATTTTTGAAGACATGTTTCAAGCTTGGTGTTGATAAACCTAATTCCTTCTCCTATGGGGAATAGACCATGTAATGGCTTGCAACTAATTCATGATGGATTCAGATTCCTTATTAGAAAAGATTTCCTTATAAGGATGGTCAAGAGTTAGAACCAAGTTAGGTGGTTAAAATGTTTAGATCTGGAGCATTATCAAAGCAGAGAATATTTTACTTTGTTGCAAGGATGATATTGAGTAGCTGGTACCAACCCAATATTGGTTTGGATAGATTTGTTCTAGATAAATGGATGGATGGATGGATGGATGAATTGTTCTAGTTTTCTTAATCACCGAGCCTTACGTGAAGAGAACAGATGCACTGAAGGACTCTGAAAATTCACCCTTAGATAGTGATTTTTCCTTGCCCAAACTGTGTAGCACATCACCAATTCTAGATTGATAATGATTATATAATAAAATAGATATTTAGGACCTTTGTGTTTCATCTGCAGGCCAAACCCATTACTACTGCATTAATGACATATGTTGTGAGTGCAAGCATCTCAAATACATCCATTCAAAACTTGGCTGATCCAGTGATTATCATTCTGAAGCATATTCAAGGAAACTGGGTAATATATCTATTTTCATCTGAGAACCAAACAGAACTCCTCTGTGGTTTTCCTGTTGAAAAAAATGGGCAATTAGCATTCACTTCCAAGACTTCATGATGATTTTCTAACTCCAGGTAGCAGAAGTATGCTATAACTGGGTATTTCTAGAAATAATGCTGTATCCTCAAGGGGTCCTGAATAGTGGACATTCTAGCAAAACTGGAACTAAGACTAAGCAGACCTCTTGGTTGTAACAGTAAAATCCATCTAATTCCATTCATTTTTTGAGTGAGATAAATGACAACTTCATTGAAAATGACATTTGTATTCTTTGGTTTTCCATGAAGAACATTAAAACGTGTATTAATTATCAAAGGTTTAAAATTATAATTATATGCAATAACATAAGGCATATATTACTAAATGATCAAATTGAGTCTTAGTAAAAGAATGAGTGACTGTTTCATTCTTTGATGTTAATATGTGTCCAGCGTGAAGCTTTAATAGCTTGCTTCATTCCCTATCTGAGACCATATGGCCTAACATATTTTCCACTAGTCTTAAAGAGAGGAGAAGGGAGAGTGGGAGAGGGAATTTACAAACCAGATTGAAAATGAAACATGTTAGGTGGGTAAGATCTCTCAATTTCGACTGTAACTATGACTCTCAGATCATTCCTGGAAATTAATTATTCCTTACCTCCAGTCTCTCAGAGATTGCAGGAGCTAGGGAAATTTTAGGAATCTTCAACAGGGTTAGTGAGGAGGCAACTCAACCATGTGTTCATAAAGGATGGCCACAGCTGTGAGTCCCCAATTCCAAAGGCTCATAAAGAACACCTACTGTATGTCAATCTCTCACTGGTTCTCTACAGCTTCTCTCTGGGCCTTGCACCAATTGGCAGATCCCAATGTTACTAGATGACACATGCTACGTTGCCATGTAGTGACATGCTGTTTTCTTACTTCTAAGCGGAGAGCTAGGTCGAGTTAGACTTAAAACCAAGCCATAAACGATCTCTCTTTCTCTCCCTCTATCTCTCTCGCTCTCTCTCGCTCTCTCTGTGTGTGTTTGTGCTTACATGTGTGTACACTTGTGTCTCCACTGACTAAAAACCTTGAAAACACTTCTGTGTATTATTTCTGTGCAGTAACCCTCACAAGGAAAGCTATTTAGCTGTAATTCTCGTTTTTGCAGAATTATGATCAAGTTTACTGTGCCTTTTGGGATTTTGACACTAACAGTAAGTATTTATAGAAGCAGACTTTGACCTGTTTGGTGGTTGAGGGAGTGGGCTTGTTGTATAGCTGTTGTCTAATCAGACACCACAGAGCACTCTGCATGACCAAGATACTCTATATGATTTTTAGGGCATGAAATTTAAGAAAATTCATTTTGGCAAGACATCTATTATAGAAATTATAAAAATAACCCAACTTATGGGTAAGCAAGATTGGGAAAAATTCAGTTAAGAACGTCCAGTGTCGAATAACTGTGAACTATTTGAAGGGGGCTGAGGAGTGATCCCCTGGCTCTTTAGGTGTATTTTCTTGGAATGATCATCACTGTTTACTTTCTCCCCCTCTTTTATAATGATGGGTGAGTCCTTGGGTAGGCCCTATGCCCTCTAAGGGACCCAATCTTTTAATTATCCCATTGAGGAGATGAGACTTCTTTGTTAATACTGAAAAGCCCTTCTTGCTTGGATAACTGCATCTATGAAGGTACTGGGTGTGATTGCTGCTGACTGGGTTTCTCTCAGGTTTGCTACCTCCACTGGAGTCCCTAGGGTTAATACCAAATCTCAGAGAATTTTCCCACACAACCAATCTCTCCTAGGAATGTCATGGCTGGTGGTGAGAAACGTTCTTCTACCTAGGGAGCTCTGCTTGGGTACTTTTCCCATCTAGAAATCTGAGTGAAAAGAGACATTCTCTTTCTATTGAGCTCCTCAGGGAACAGAACACTACCTCTTTCTGACAAGCAGAAACAACATGTCCTCCCCTGGCTCCCCCCAAGTCTGTCATTAAAATGGTCCTATAAAGTGACAAGCTCTGTCCTCCACAGCTTCAATGAGTTGATCCCATTCCCAGGAGACCCTTTGCCCCTGGCTCTCTATGCTGCTCACACCTGGATACCTGTCCTGAGATAAGTCTTTTGGCACACTACCACCCTAAACAAGCTCTAGAAGCCAAGATCTACAAGGCTCTAATGGGCTGAAAGGATCTCTAGACCATGATCATGTGACACCATTTCGTTTCTCGGTACAACTGGCTGAGTTGGCTAAGTGGCAGCCTATATTTCAAAGGTCTAGGTCTTTCAGAAACTTCTAGATCTGTCTATTTATTTTATTGGCTACTTACATAACACGTCACTCCAGCATGGTGGCACGAACAGTTGCTCATGATTAGAATCGGCTTTAATCAGCAGAGGTGTGATACAGAAACAGGAGAAGTGAGTGACAATGAAGTTAGACTATTTACAAAGCCCCACCACCACCCTGCACCCATGACACACACGTCAATTTGGCCTATTAAATGTAATTTAATTTTGCTGTTCAGTTGTATCTCTATCTTGCTGTCTTAACAAACAATGCTAATTATAACACACGTTCGGATGGTTCATGTAATGAAAAATTAAACATTTCTGAGAAAAGTGAAATTGCTTTGAAATTCCCTTCTGTCCCCCGCAGATGGGCTAGGTGGATGGAATTCATCAGGCTGTAAAGTAAAGGAAACCAACGTAAATTACACAATCTGTCAGTGTAACCACCTCACCCACTTTGGAGTTTTAATGGTGAGTTGTCTCTTTATCACTCTTCGATGGAATTTTGACAACTTTTAGTAGGTTCAAGCTATTAATGTACATCTAAACTAAATAATGGAAAATGGTATACAAGCAAAAAATGATGCTTCTCCTCCTATTGTGTTTACTAAAATAGAGAAAATTGAAACAGGTGTTCAGTTTTCTATTATAAAACTAAGTCCCACTCCTCACATTCTCAGTGAGAGCTGAGAAGCTCTGTATAACATACAGTGTCAGTGTGTAGCCCAGGTTGGTCTGGAACTTATGATCTTCCTGGCATGAAGTACTGGGTGAAAATAGGGATGCCCATCCACACCTGCCTTAAGTATGTTTTATATTCCCTTTGAAATTTTTATTCAACATATTAAAAGCCAAATTGTGAAAATTTTGTATGGATTACTCCCAACTGGCTAGAGCTTTAGAATGGGCATCAAAAGCCTCACGCTTATGTTCTAGCTCTAGTCAGCAATTACCTTTGCAGTTTGATTTGAGGTGTCTTACTTGCTTGGAACTTAGATCTTTCTTCTGAGGTTTGAATTATAGAAGGGAGAGTTTCTCTTATTTCAACACTATTGATATTGAGAACACACAATTCTATGGTGTGGAAAATAGTTCTGTGCATCATAAGATGGACAGCAGCATCCCAGGCCTCTACCTAGCTGATGGCACCAGCACCTTCCTCAGTTGTGACAACCAAAAAATATCTCTAGGTGCTGTCACATGCCCCCACAGGGGGTATAGATTCCTTCTAATTGAGACTTCCCAGAAGAGATTAGTACTTCCTAGCTTTTCTAAAAACGCCCTAACTTCTTGTGAGGCATAGAACCATAAGCGTCTAATGAAAGCTAAGGACTTTCTTCCTGAACCAGTGCACTTATAATTTCAAATAATTTTGCACGTCATTGCAGATCTTTGGTGGTCTTCAGATTAAGACATGATGGGACTATTACTGTACAGAAAGGACCAGTTTACCTCTTAATTTTATAAAAGTTATTAAAGGTCTAAGGAAAAGGAACATCTTTTTTTTAATGTTCTGTGTAGTATTTTGGGGACACTCAGTTCAGATAATGATTCACTTTCCATCCCAAATTCAAATCCATTAGCTTGGTTATATTTTCAAGTGCTGAACATGTTAATGACAATGAAACCAAGGACTAAATGTTCTTTCAGTGTTGTTGATGGTTTTCCATGCTTTGTACACAGCAAGCTGTACTAGGCCTGGTCAAACTGTATGTGGTCTTATCACGTATCCATTTACATCATCTGACTGTATAAGAGCATAACAGAGTTGCTATATGTCCTGGGAATCACCTGTTTGTGAGCACCAGAAGCATTTTACTCGAAACTTGTTCTGGTAAATGTGTAAAGCACTACAATATTGTAATTCTAGGATTTGTCCAGGTCTACAGTGGATGCAGTGAATGAACGGATATTAGTGATTATAACATATACAGGATGTGGGATCTCCTCCATTTTCCTGGGGATTGCAATGGTGACATACATAGCTTTCCAGTAAGTTTATACAACATAGCTCTGAGTAAGTTTAATTTGATCTGATGGACGTGTTGTCATTGAAATCTTGTTAAATTCATGAATATAATACAACAAACAGAAAGAGGTTACATCATCAGATTATGAAGTGGGGAAAATAAAAGTAAAGCAAAATAACTATTACTGGAGTATTTTAAGAGTGAGAGATTTGTGATTTGGAGTAAAATCTCTCTTCCTTGATACAAGGACAGAGACGATAAAAGGAAAAGTCTAAAGTTTCATTAGAAACAAGAACCTTTTCATCATATGAAAAAATTAAGATGGAGAAGGACAACCAGAAATTGGGAACAAAACAAGACAGAAAATTGAAAAGTGGACAAAAGAACTGAATGAATACTTCACAGAAAAGGTTGTGCATGGGCAGCCCTAATTTGAACCCAAATGATAAGTATATGATCATATGTTAAGTTTCTCAACATCTTTACTCATCACAAACAAAAATGCTAATTAAAGTCATAATTATTTTAAAAACTGACCTTGAGTTGACAGGGAGATGAGTTGGGGTAGTGTGGGAGGAGTGGGATGGGGGAAATGGAGGTAGACATATTTCATTACAGAACCGTATGCAATTCTTAAGAATAAAAAGAATTAAACAAGCAAAAATTTTTATTTTATTATCAATAGAAGCCAGCCAACCAACCAAGCAACTAAACAAAAAGTCTAAACCCCACAGTTACATGCCCGGGCACCTACCAGAATGACACAGTTTTAAAGTATCAACAGTAGAAAGTGTTCACAAGAAGATGAAGCCACTATAACTCCCATGGATTGCAACAACCATTTATTACCCAGAGCTCCTCAGAGAGGGCTGGGATCTTGTGAGGCCCTAATGCACAACTCTTGTTGTTTTATTATTCAGATAAGATGTAGTAGTACTTAATTTGGAAGGGAGACCCTGCCTGGCCTAACATTTTTTTTTTTGTTGTTGTTGTTTTAAAGCAAACTTCGAAAAGATTATCCTTCTAAAATCCTGATCAACCTATGCACAGCATTACTGATGCTCAACCTAGCATTTCTGGTTAACTCCTGGCTGGCATCATTTCAGCAAGCGGGACTATGTATCACAGCTGCAGTGGCACTTCACTACTTTCTGCTGGTGTCTTTGACTTGGATGGGCCTGGAGGCAGTCCACATGTACTTTGCTCTAGTCAAAGTCTTCAATACATACATTCCAAATTATATCCTGAAATTTTGTCTAGCTGGTTGGGGTGAGTATTCTGCCACTGTGCTTGATGTCGCTTTTAAAATACCGTCTTTAAAAAAAAGTTAGCTCCACCTTATTCTATTTTTCTTTTTTCCTTCTTTTTTTCTTCCTTCCCTCCTTCCTTCTTCCCCTCCCTTCTTCCTTCCTTCTTTCCTCTCTTCCTTCTTCTTCTTCTTCTTCTCTCTCTCTCTTTCTTCTCTCTCTCTCTCTCTCTCTCTCTCTCTCTCTCTCTCTCTCTCTCTCTCTCTCTCTCTTCCTCCTCCTTCTTTTAGACAATATGAGACTGGGTAATTTACAAAGACAGAGATTCTAAGTTCCAGAGGATGGAAAGTAAAAGGTCAAAGGCAGAACTTACCTTTTTATAAGGGACCCACTGCTGAAAAAATGTGAACTGATTTGTTGCAATAAAGCATTAATCTATTCCTGAAGGCAGGCCCTTTATCACTTAACCAACTATTGAAGATTTCATTTCTCAATACTGAGGCAATGAGGATCAAGTTTTCACCATATGAACTTTGGAGGACCTTTTCAAAGTACAGCAGACACCATTTGGCATGCTATTTTGGATCCATCTCTTACTAGTGTAGTTCAGGAATTAAGTATTACATCACTGGAGTTTCGATGTGCATTGCTCTTCCTGCTTATGTGGTTCTATACATTCAACTTTAAAACTTTAAAGAGTTTGTACACAAATGTTCATTGAACACCCACTCGTGTGCTGTACTAAAGACTAGATCCATAATAACAACCTTGTGAGATCTTAGCCTTCCCTTTACAGAAGTATCAACAGTACTTACTGATGTAATAGTGAGTGGTCAGCTCTCCATTATAGGTGCCAGCTGATATTCTAAGTGCTTTTCATGCCCATGTAGTCTTCACTGCCTCTGTATAGAATGGATTCCATTATTATTCTCACTGAAGACACGAGGGGAGAGCGTTGTACTTGCTAAAACACACACCCAAGATATGAACCAGGTAGCCTCTCTCCGAAGTTTGAACTTTTAATACTGATGATCTTGCCATATTGCTTAAGACTTCAAATTGATAACATTGTGTCTAGACAGCCATGATTGGGTCCTTACCACCCCTTGTGACTGTCAAGACCACTGTTGTCCCTGGGAGAAGCCAGGAATGGAACTCAGCACGGATGCATCCTTCTCTCTCTCTTGACCAGTCATTGTCAGATCCACTCACAGATCTTTCCTCCTTCCTTTACTCCATGCCATACACAGTGACAGTTCCTACAGCTTGTTTGTCTCTTGAGGCATCTCATTTTATACTATTCCCTAAGATACAGGGGAAGGCAGGAAAGGCTAAAAATTGTACTCAAAGGCAGGAGAATATTTGTTTTAAATTTTTTTTAATTTTTAATTTTTTTTATTTTTCCTTTTATTTTATTTTACAATACCATTCAGTCCTACATATCAGCCACGGATTCCCTTGTTCTCCCCCCTCCTGCTCTCCTCCTCTTCCCCCCAGCCTACCTCCCTTTCCCACCTCCTCCAGGGCAAAGCCTCCCCCGAGCACTGAGATCAACCTGGTAGACTCAGTCCAGGTAGGTCCAGTCCCCTCCTCCCAGGATGAGCCAAGCGTCCCTGCATAAGCCCCAGGTTTCAAACAGCCAACTCATGCAATGAGCACAGGACCCGGTCCCACTGCCTAGATGCCTCCCAAACAGATCAAGCCAATCAACTGTCTCACCTATTCAGAGGGCCTGATCCAGTTGGGGGCCCCTCAGCCTTTGGTTCATAGTTCATGTGTTTCCATTCGTTTGGCTATTTGTCCCTGTGCTTTATTCAACCTTGGTTTCAACAATTCTCGCTCATATAAAAGTGTCAAGTATAATCACAAGCTCAGGTTGAGCCAAGGCCAAGGTCTGGCTGACTACCTAGTTGAGAAAGATACAATGAGCTACACTTGGATCCATCTGTTATTGACACAGTGAATGGGGAGTAGCTAAAATTGCAGACCTCCACTTCTCACCCCAGGCTCTGAAAAGAATAACACCAAAGAGAAACGGAACAGATGACACTGGACAAGTGGTAGGATTCTCCATGATTGAGGGGTCAGTTCTAAATGGGAGCTATGTGCTTTTCTACTCTACAGCTCCATTTTAGTTGGGGCAGGGTATAAAGCCCCACACCTCTGAAGACCCAGGAGGTGGTAAGAGAGTGTCTGTGACAACTTCCCAGAGGAAAGAGGGAAAGTAGGGGATATCACCCCCAAGGCTCTTGTCTTCTCCCATTGGTGAAGACGCTTAATACATTCTGTCAAAAATGAGATAAGCTGAGATGCAAGCCTTTGCAGGCATGGCTTATGTGGATGCACACAACGTCATAGGGGAGGGGTACTTCTAAGCTGCTGCAGGAAGTTTGGAAGCATTATAAAATCAACTGGAAGACAAATACTAGGATCTCTGTAGATTTAACAGTTGGTTTTCCTAAGCCAAGGCAATCTGTTATAAAGGCGCATGCCTTTAAATTTCTGTTCAAGAAAGTAGATTTACCCACATATTATAAAAACTGACAACTGAGTATGGTGCCTCATACCTGCCATCCCTGATTCAAAGTCATCCTAGGCTACATACTGAATTCTAGTTCAGCTGGGTCTCCAGCATGATATTTTGCCTCAGAAATCGAAACCCCAAACAAACAAAAACCAACAGAACAAGTAATAGGATATTTGAAGGATTTTTTTTATTATATTTATTTATTTTATGTGCGGGTACATGGAGGTCAGGTGACAGTTTGAGGGAATTTATTTTTTCCTTCCACCACGTGGGTCCCCAGGATCAAACTCAGGCTTGGAAGCAAGTGCCTTAACCTGCTGAGCTTTCTTGCCAGTCCAAGTAGGGATAATTTTTTAAAAAAATTTATGTACATGCAAACTTGAGTACTTCCACATAATTTAATCATAAATATGAGGCCTCCTTTCAGACCTGTCTTACAGCTTATGGGGACATTTTTTTTAAGCTAGCAAAGAAAGTAATGGGCCCCATTATGGTATTTTCACACTACATGTATTATACTTTATTATTAGTCACCCTCCTCTCCCTCCAGTAGTCCCCTCCCATCCTCCCTGCTCTCCTCTTGCTGGTCCTCTTCTTCCCACCAATAGACCTCTTTCTTCTTTCACGTCCATGAAGAAATAATATGTGCATGAGGGTAGGCCCTGTGCCAGGTGTGGGCTAGCTGCATTGGAAAGGATTAATCTGTTTATCATAGTTGGGGCAATGGAGGATTTTTCAAGATGCTTGCCACTGTGAGGAATGGAATAGCTTTGCAGAGTATTTTACAACCCCCCTACAGGGTGTGTGGGTGTATGTGCTCCCATTAGGAGAAATGCAAGCTTAGAAATAAAAAAAAAATCAGTTCAGTTTTGCAACTGTACATGAAATTGAATTTGTATAGCCCATGCCCATACTCCCATCACGTTTGACCATTTTAACTGAGCTGATTGCTTTATTATAGTGTGGCTGAATTGAGCGGCTGTTAACTGGTCGATCTAGTCAAAATGTCAAACTAGTAACGAGTGTGGAAACGGCTTGCCTGTCAAAAAAGTAATGAAGGCTGCAGCTGATGTCTGTGCCCTTCCTCCAAGGTGACCTAGACAAAGACACAGTGGGAACAAAGGGGTAGAATTGAAAAGCAGGGAAAAAATGGTGGCCCATCATCTGAGAAGAAATGTGTGGCGTAGGCTTGTATTCTGATGAACTAGATGCTTCTATTGCCAAACTGATTTTTTTGGCACTTGAGCCTTTTTAATAAGTATTAAATGTCACCTTGGAGCCACTGGCACACTGCTTAGTTTAGTAGATTGGAAAACTCCTAGAAAAGTTTTACTTGGAAGAATTCATAAACATTTTGCAAACAATGGAATTTTGATGTCCACACATCTGTGGCTCATTAAGCAGTGTCTTAATGTGTCAGCCCCCACAGCTGTTTGATTAGGATCCTTCCCCTCGGATTGAACAGGTTCTTTTGCCTTGCATGCCCACTCTAGGAATCCCAGCGATCACAGTGGCCATTATACTCAGCATAAGAAAAGACCTGTATGGAACTCTGAACCCAGCAACTCCGTTGTAAGTACCAATATCTCTTGCTCTCAGGCAGTAGGTGTTCTAGGCATGGTGGGATGCTCCAGCTCTGGACTTTGTCTTAGCACTGTCTTCATGGAAAATAAAACGTCAGCCTTTTTGATAGAACACCGCTATGCTCAGTTGTGGAATGGGTAGGTGTTTGGATTCTATATGACCAAGGCCAAATCATCCTGCCTTTTAGATGCATTTCTTCTGGAAAATGGGGCTAATGTCATTTGCTCTCAGTGTCATGTGCAAGTTAAAATGACATTGCTTGTATAAAGTTCTTGACCTGTTGCTTGATCTGTGGCAAATGCTATGGAACTGCCAGTCCTTTTTAGTTGCAAAAACTCATAGACCACACGAAGGATTTAGTGGCTAGTCTAAGGAAATACTGAGATGAGTTAGAAAACCTCTTCTGTCTTTTAGCAACAAAGGTCTTCCCAGAAGGAGACTGAAAATCTTCCCATTGTAAACTGCCAGATTTATTGCTCTCTATTTGTTTATTGTTTTTCTCTCTGTGTTTTAAAAATTTGATGTATAAGCCCATCTCTTTGGCTCTCAACTACAATCACAAGAATAGCCTTTTATTCCACTCCATCTCTTTGGAGCCTTATTTGGACCTACACATCCCTTCAGGCTGCACAATCTTTTATTTAATTTCCCCATATCCATTCCTTTTACCACGGCTTCTCAAAATCACAGCCACTATAGATTTCTTGTCCCGTTGTGCTGAGATCAAGTGTAGGAGGTCCTGTATCTAACATCCTCTGTCTTTCATATTGAGATGGCAGTTGCCGAAGGTCAAAATTACATTGCCCTCTGCAGCAGATGCTTTCTAATTAAAATTCCTAGTTCTCCCTTATTTCCCTCTCTTTTCTCTCTCCTTCTTTGTCTCCATCTCTGTCCTCCCTCTTTGCCTGTTTCGTGACTTAAAAGGTCCCCAGTATCTGTCTTGTAGTGATTCTTCTTCAAAGATCAAAAGCATAAACAAAACCAGAACAAAATCAACTCCGCACTCCCCACCCCCAAAGAGCCTTTTCATATGTGATTTGTTAGTAAGAGGCAGATGGCTCTAAGAGTTTTGTTTTGTAAATAATTATACTTTGAAAGGTAATTCACTACAGGGTACAAAACACAAATTGTACAAAAGGGTAGAGGCTGAAAACTAAGCCTCTTCCCAAGCCCCAGCTCCAGCGTTTTTCTCCTTTCAGGTAACTCCTGTCACCAACAGTCAAACGAGTGGCCATCTCCTTGCACACAATTTTTGGCTTCTGTCTTTTATTTTTTATTTATTTTATTATCACTTTTGATGTTTGGGATTGTGTCTTGCTGCATATCCCAGGATGTCCTAGAACTTGCTGTGTAGCTCAGGCTGACTACAAGCTCAGCGGTGCCCCTGCCTCAGCCTCCCAAACTGCTGATTTTACAAGCTGGAGCCACGACATCCAGACAGTTATTTGGTTTTTGACACATTGTTGCATTTATTTGTGGAGCACGGCAAAAACATTTGAATACAGATGTATATCATATCACGGTCAAATCGAGATAATGAACATATCTATTATCTCAAATATTTCGTATTTGTTTGGGTGTCAACACTCAAATTCCTTTCTTCTCAGTAATCTGAAATATACCACACAGTATTGTTTACTCTAATCTCCACACTCTGCTGGAGCTTTGTGCCTCCTCTCCCTAGGCTCTGATGACTGCTAATCTGCTCTCCCATTCTATGTGACCAACTTTAACAATTCTTTTACATCTATTTATTTTATGTGTGTGAGTGTTCCACCTGCATGCATGTATGTGAACCATGTGCATTTCTGGTGCACAGGGAGTCAGAAAAGACAGCCAGTTTCCTAGAGTTGAGTTTGAGATGGTTGTGAGCCACCATGTGTGTGTGCTAGGAATCAAACCCAGGTCCTCTCCGAGAGCAACAAGTGCTTTTAACTTGAGCCATCTTTCCAGCCCCATGATGCACTTTTTGTGTGAGTGCCCTCTCACACACTTTATGTGTGTGCTGTTTTGTACACTGATTATTTTAACTTGGAGATGATTCTGTATCCTCAACTACAGTGCTGACGCATCTTCAGAGTTTTCTGGAGTTTTGTTTGAGGCTGCAGAGGATAGAATGAGAATCCTAAATACGAGACTGTATTAGGGAGATTAAATGTTTCCCCCCTCACCCTCCTGAATCACACACACACACACACACACACACACACACACACACACACACACACACGCACAATGACATGTGCCAGTATGGACAACATGTCCCAAAGGAATTTTTCTGCATTCAGAAAGAGATTCCAGCTAATTAGACACACAGTTGACTTAGTCAAGCTTGTCTGCCTTCAGAACTCAGAAGCAATGCGTCTCCTAGTTAGAATTGTTGTTCAGTGAAGCATCCGCTCACAGGAAGCACTATACATCTCTTCTTTAATAGAAACCGTAGAACCATTAAGCTATCTAGTAGCCACTGCTGTCTTTTGTGGTCCAAATGCATCATATTTTAAAGCAGTACAACGAGAGCTGTCTTCTTTTTGTTGCATTTTCATTAACTCTGATCATCTCATCATTGTTTGATATCGCATTCAGGAATATTCTTGCTTGCTCATGTCCTTTTATTATGATATTTATCATGCAAAGCAGAATTCATCTCGCAAATAAAAGCTCTGGTTTAAGGTGTGTGCAGGGTGGGGAGGAGAGCTCCATTGGGGAAAAATACATAATTTGTTTTTCTCTTGTTGAAGAAGAAAATAATTTCTCAGAGAAATTTACTGAGGTTTCTGTATATGTGCCCTGTAGGAGTCTAGCCTGCATTGGAAGGTACCCAAAAGTAGGGCTCAGGAGAATAGGGTTTAAGCCCAGCTCTGCCTCCAGGGGGCGTGAGTGAACACCATTGTTTTGCTTCATCTCTCTAGGTCTAGATGTCCTAAGAACCACTGAAACTGACCAGGTGACCTTAGAGTGCTCAGAAAGTAGTAGTATATATTTATGCCTCACAAGAGTCTTCTCTTCCTTGTTCCGTACAGTTGTTGGATTAAAGATGATCGTATCTTTTACATCTCGGTGGTGGCTTATTTTTGCCTCATATTTCTCACGAATCTCTCCATGTTCTGCACTGTTCTTGTTCAATTGACTTCGGTGAAATCCCAAAGCCAGAAGACCCGGAAGAAGATGATCCTCAATGACCTCAAAGGCACAATCAGCCTGACATTCTTACTTGGCCTCACTTGGGGGTTTGCCTTTTTTGCCTGGGGACCTGTGAGGATCTTTTTCATGTATCTTTTTGCCATTTGTAATACTTTACAAGGTAACTGTTGCATGTGGGCCCTATCTGTGGCTAGCTAGAAAGTTTTGTTGTTTTGGAAAATAATCCCACCAATCAGAATTTAAAGGAGGAAAAAAATATATATATATATATATACTTCAGAAGATTCCTGCTCCCAACGGGTCAACAAGTGGTCTTTGGAAATATTACTTAGATGTTAGCCTTCGTTGAGTGAATCTCTCTCTCTTACTAGGGGTGGAGGGAGGATTAAATAAGCTAGCACAATTCTTTCTAGTTGGTAATGTCAGCATCAAACACTGACTGGCAAGGTTTCGTGCAGTACTCATCAAATCAACACACTGTTTGTTGATACACAGATTCATGCTTGTGTTTAAAATTTGAAGTGCATGGTCTAGTCGAATATACCAATTCCTAGATAGCAGAGACATTAAACTTATAATTCTACAGGCTCCAATTGAATCATATATCTTAATAAATCCTCAGGCTAGAAAGTTGCAGAGTCCCACAGAAATGAAGCTGAAATTCAGAGTCTAGGACCAAAGTTCTGAGTAGAATATGTGAAAATATAAACCATGCTTCTGTTCTCTCTCTCTCTCTCTCTCTCTCTCTCTCTCTCTCTCTCTCCCCTCTCTCTCTCTCTCT